CCCCAAAACCCCAAAACCCCAAAACCCCAAAACCCCTTTTGTTTTAAATTTTAAAAGATTTAAATATTAGCGGAAATGGAAAAGCAGCACAATTACCCATCTAATAGGGGAAAGGACGAAGTGTCTAAAATTTCAATGCAGACTTTTGGCATTCAGTAATTCAAATGGCTAATTTTTAGGGATTTCCATGGGAAATCTCTCATGGATCAGTCTTTTAAGGACACTGACGCTAGTAAAGGTAAGTTCATAAGGGGTTTCCTGCTACAGATATGTCCTTTTTGTGCATAAAGTCTCCAAAAGTAATGGAAAATCTGGGTTTCTGCTACATTAGTTGGATATTGCTTCTGGAAATGTACAGACTGTGAGGCTGTAATTAATGGGCTTTTATTGTTTCAGTTTTTGAGTAATAGTTTTGGGCATCATTTTTAGGTAGAAATACGGGCTTCCATAGAATATGCGTTGGTCAGGCCAAGGAGTTGGTCAAGTTCTAGATCCGCACTTTGGGTATTCTGTATGGGGTTAAGGGGTTAAAGACATCCCGAAAGAGGTGCTTTTGGGATTTTAGAGACTTATTAAAGCGTTTATTTTAGTTTTTATGAGTTCTGCTCCTGTTTTGGAATTTTCTAAGTATAATATGATTTTTGGAGGTATTTAGGTGTGGAATCAGATTGTATTATATTCTCTATATGAACAGATTTTCTTTATAAGAGAGATTCCTTTGGTTATCATATTTTAAATAAGTTTTAAATGGAAGACTAGCACAAATTAGGTTTTATTAGTTAAATAATGAACGAATTCGTAAGATTTTAGGTTGGGCTAATAAATTGTTAGCAGTTTAAATGTAATTTGAGAAGGTTCATCCAGTTTTACACTGCACATAATGAAGTTTGGTCGCTATCAGAAGAATTAAAATCATACATCAGTGGATGCAATAAGCTAGATGCGCAAGAGTTTAGCATATCAGTCTAGTAATGAGGTTCCTCCCTCATCAGGCCAATATTAAGCTAGACTTCCGATTTTCTTAATAATCATTCAGGCTGAGGCTATCATCAGGTGTATTTAGTAATATTTTAAGACATATTGAAATAGTAATTTGAGGAAGTGTAGTTGTGATATTAAACATTAAATATGTCTGATTAGATTTCTAGAAGGATTTAATGCCCCTACTTCTGTATTCTCCTCAGAGGTAAATTGATAGTATCCTCCAAAGCCTGGGGCTGACAGTTTTTTTTGTAAATAGCCTTCATCGATTGTAGCGAGAAAATTTTATGATAAAATAAGGAACTTAGGACTATTGATTTGATCAAATCAGCATTATTGGCTAATTTGGTCAAAATCAATAGGCTAATATTGCCTTGAGCTTCATTATCCCTGCATCTAAAATTTTGAAGTTTGTTCATGCTGCGAAGCATGGAAGACCGGAGAACTTGTCTGATCGTTTCAAATATAGGAAAGTCCAAGCACCTCGGGAGTAAGTACAGGCACCGGAAGTAAGTAAACTAATATCTTGTTTATAAACCGTCAGCTAATCATGCTCTAGAGATTCTTTGCTAAGGAAGTCTAAACAAAAGTTTTCGTCATGAGCTAAAATTTCAAAAGGAGGCACCTCTATAATCCCGGGTTTGGCATCTGAGAAAGCTGGGCTTGATCATTCTGAGTTAAGCAAGAGCAAGCAGAAACCTTCACTGAGAGAAGACGCTTATAATACAATTGAGACTAGGGAAAGCACTGGGAAGTTACTCAGAAGAGATAGGAACAGAACTGAGAATCGGAAGAAGAGGAAAAGCAGAGTCAAGTCTAAGTCTAAAAGTCGCAAAAGGCTTCATAATGATTATACCCAGATAAGTTCGGAGCTTCATGATTACCGATCGACTAGTATGACTAGTGGGAAGAAGTATAAGAGAGGAGAGAAGCATCAAGGCAGCTCAAAGTATTCTAATATGGAGTCTACCACTTCTATTCGAGTCAAGCATCGTTATATTGGCAAGGATCATCTTATGAACTCTCACAGGAGCCATTCTGAAGATAGTGGCGGAAAGAATAAGTATGAAAAGGCAAGGATCAAGCCGAATGCTTCTGATATTAGCAAAGGCTCTAAACTTTCGCGGCATAATAATGACAAAAGGAGAAAGAGCAATTCTCGAGAAAGGTCTAAGAGAAAGAAGAGTGAGTCTGAGAACCAGCTTATTTATACTTTCAGAGAGAATAACGAGGAAGTTGATCATGAAGCTCTCAATACCATTCAACATACTTCTAAAGGTAACTTATTTAAAGTTTTGTCGAAATGTATCCCTAAAATTTCCCGATTCGTTAGTGTGTACCTAAGCCTGTTGATTTAGGAAGTAATCTCCAGAAGATCAAGGAGCCTCCGGTGATTGATAAGTTTAGCACCATAACAAGGAACGATAAGATATTTGAGAAGACTCTGATGACTATTAATAACTCTAAGAAAAGTTTTTATAACACAGGGAAATGTATAGAGAACATATCTCCTTCTGATTTGAATATCTTGAAAGGGTATAAGGACAAGCCACATCTAAATACTCTTGAGCATTCTGGCTCTAAGACTCGGACCAACTACCACAGGCAATGTAAGCTCTATATGTGAGGATTTATAGCGAGTAAGGAGAATTCAGCCAGAGCAGGCACTGAGAGAAGGGATTGTGGGAGAAATAAGTCCAAACGGCCTCATATCAATCCTGAAGATATTGGCCTTGAAGAGAACACAAAAGGTTATCTAGCATATATGGAACTGTTCAAGAAATATAATAAACTCAAAAGGTTGTTTAAGAAGAAAGCTAGGAATGAGAGAATGTTGCAGGAGAAGGTGTCTTATCTAACAGATAAGAACCAAGCATACTCTCGGAAGGCTAAGAAGCTTCAAGATATGTTAAGGAAATGAGAGTGAGCTAGAGAGGCGGAATTCTCTTAGTCACATGCAAATAATTTAATTCTATGTTACCAATTTTCTTGCATCATTGGGGTTTTGGGGTTTTGGGGTTTTGGGGTTTTGGGG